ATAAAACAAGTACTTGACAAAATCGAAAGGATCAAAAGAATGAAAGGAAGAGAAGGAACCATAGTCCAATTGAACTGGATCCCAGGACATACGGGCATCTATGGTAACGAACTAGCTGATAGAACAGCCAACGAGGGAAGGACAAAATGTAATCATTACACCAACATTGACTTCACACTTAGTACTTCATACTCAGCAATGCGACGCAGAATGCGCGAACGCTATACAGCGCCACTGAAAATCGAAGCTTCGAAATTGTCAGTCATCAAGTCCAATACCTCAAAAACATCAGCCGGAAAGCTGACAGCTGCGAAAACTGCTAAGATCCTCAATGAACTACCCAGAGCGACACGGTGCCTAGCAACCCAGCTACGTACAGGTCACTTCCCTACGACTAAGTCATATCGATACCGATTCAAGCTAATCGACTCACCGAAATGCAGGACGTGCGGCATAGATGATAGCATCTCGCACAGAGTATTTATATGTAGAAGACACATAATGGCAAGAATTACCTTACGAAGAAAGATAACCAAGATCAACGTTCGGTTCGAATTAGGTCCAATGCTCAGGAACGCACAAGCTCTTCAAGCCCTTTACGAGTTTTTCAAACCGCAATTGACTACACACCAAAGATACTCCGGTGGTTCGGCGTAACCGAGAAAATTCCCGGGCACGCAAATCACCAAGACATTTTACGACACTAGTCAAGAAACGCTTCCCACCAATTCAACATACCATTCAAATCCTCATGCTTTAAGAAGTATTGATGGACGCAGTTTAACTTTGTATCGTCTTAGCAATATATTTAGATTTCATCATCATTTTTTGTTAGGAACGCACAAGCTCTTCAAGCCCTTTACGAGTTTTTCAAGCCGCAATTGACTACGTACCCAAGATACTCCAGTGGTTCGGCGTAACCGAGAAAATTCCCGGACACGCAAATCATCAAGACATTTTACGACACTAGTCAAGAAACGCTTCCTACCAATTCAACATGCCATCCAAATCCTCATGCTTTAAGAAGTATTGATGGACGCAGTTTAACTTTGTATCGTCTTAACAATATATTTAGATTTCATCATCATCATCATCATCATCATCATTTTTT